CGTTTTGAATTGGTAGCCCGGATGGATGGCTCCAGAGGTTCTACGCAATAAGCCCTCAAATGAAAAGTGAGTAGCTTAGACTCCCAGTTTTTGTCATTGCCTCTACAACAAAAGTTATGCTCTTACTTTGACCTTTTCCAAGGAGAATGTAATATAAAAACATGGTGGGCTTCTTTGTTTCTGCAGGTGTGATGTGTACTGCTTTGGGGAGATTCTATGGGAACTAGCAACATTGAGATTGCCATGGAGAGGAATGAACCCAATGCAAGTAGTAGGAGCAGAGGGTTAATCTCGTTTGTGAGAAGATCATGACTCGTGAGGTAGATGAAAGGATGATTTGGGGCTTGGGTTCTGATGCAGGGAACGAGTTTTTCGGTGCTGTGAATGAGTTGAGAGGTTTTATTGATCGGTTAGAGGGAACAGAAGAGAAGGTTTCTTTGAGGAAAGCTCATGATGTTCTTCAGACGGTGATGGCAAGGCTTGACGATGAGTTTAAGCATCTTCTTGTTGAGAACATGCTGCCTTTTGAGATCTAACACTTACATCCCCTTGTATTTTAATTAGTTTGGTCTTTGGTTTGTTCTCTTTGTACACTTACATCCCCTTGTGTTTTGGAATTAAACAAGTCACATGTGATCGATTGATGGATCCACTAGATTCAAATAGCTTGATTTGGTTATTGAACAGAATTTGATAAGACCAAATTAGGTAATCTTCATTACATTTGATGTGTATACATAGCTTTCTATAAGCAACACTCATGTTTGTTACAAAAATCAGAAGCCAGCAACACTCATGCTTGTTACTTATTAGTATTCTTTTTTGTAGACTTACAAAGAAGTCTACTTGACAGAGAAAAATATAACATAAGTCTATCACATTAGACAACATCCAAAGCAACAATATAGTTTATAAGTTCAACACACACTAAAGACCTACAAATCCAATAGAAGACAACTCAAAGCNTCCTCTCCCATCCTTCAGCCATCTCCACCTTGTCTCCTCCTCATCTCCTCCTCGTCACCACCATCACTCTCCGCCTCGTCTCCTCTTCATCTCCACCATTACTTTCCGCCTTGTCTCCTCCTCATCTCCTCCTCGTCATCACCATTACTCTCCTCCCTGTCTCTCTCTCTCTCTCTATATGTGTTTATAAAGAGTCTCTCCATCTCTTATTTTTTGATTAAAGTGTTCAATTTTCGTTCTAGGGTTTGTATATGTTCAATTTATTTTCTGTAAATTGAAATGCATATGTTGTTGACGAAAATTGATGAAGTGTTATGAGTTAATACATGTTTGTAGTGTACAAGCATGTGTTGTGTTTTATTGATTTCTCTGGCTCTTTTTGTTGCATGTTGCTCCCAGAATTTTACTGCAGACTACGATTTGTAGACTTTTACTGCAGACTACGGATTTGTAGACTGTCTTATAGGTCTACATTAATTTAGACTGAATATACAATCTACATAGAAAAATCTATTAAAAATTGGATTTGTGTATTGTTTATTTTAGGTTTCAGATTCTGTTTAGAGTAACATTGATTGTTCATTATATTTTCGGATGCATTGTCTTAGATTCTGTATAGAGAAACACTGATTTTTTATTATATAGTTGGATGCATTGGGTTAGCTTAAGCTTGATTTAC